CCAAGTGGGCTTCATCCCAGGGATGCAAGGATGCTACAATATTTGCAAGTCAGTAAATGTAATACATCACATAAACAAAAGCAAAGACAAAAATCACATGCTCATATCAATAGATGCACAAAAAGCATTTGATAAGGTGAAGCACCCATTTATGATAAAAACTCTCAGGAACGTGGGAATAGAGGGAGCATTCCTCAACATAATAAAGGCCATATATGAGAGACCTATAGCCAACATCATACTCAATGGGCAAAAACTAAAATCTTTTCTGCTAAGATCAGGAACAAGACAAGGTTGTTCATTTTCACCACTTCTATTCACCATAGTATTGGAAGTTTTAGCCACAGTAATCAAACGAGAAAAAGAAACAAAAGGCATCCAAATCAGAAAGGAGGAAACAAAACTGTCATTGTTTGCGGATGACATGATAGTGTACAGAGAAAATCCTATGGACTCGGCCAGAAAACTGCTTGACCTAATAAGTGAATTTGGCAAAACAGTGGGATACAAAGTCAATATCTAGAAATCAAAGGCATTTTTTTTGTAAACCAACAATGAAATATCAGAAGCAGAAATCAAGGGAAAAATCCCATTGGATATAGCAAAAAGAAAAATAAAATTCCTAGGAATAAACCTAACCAAGGACGTAAAAGACCTGTATACAGAAAACTACACAACACCAAAGAAAGAAATCAAGGAAGACACAAACAAATGGAAACATATACTGTGTTCATGGATTGGAAGAATTAACATCATCAAAATGTCCATACTACCCAAAGCAACTTGCAGACAGATTCAATGCAATACCTAGTAAAGTACCAATGGCATATTTCACAGATATAGAACAAACACTTCAAAAACTTATATGGAACCATAAGCGACCCCGAATAGCTGCTGCAATTTTGAGAAAGAAGAGTGAAGTAGGAGGGATCATAATACCTGACACTAAAATATACTACAAGGCCACTGTAATCAAAACAGCCTGGTACTGGCATAAAAACAGGCACATGGACCAATGGAACAGAATAGAGAGCCCAGAAATAAACCCAAGTCTCTACGGTCAATTAATATTCAACAAAGGGGGCAGCAACATAAAATGGTGTAAGAATAGCCTCTTCAACAAATGGTGTTGGGAGAACTGGACAGCTACATGCAAAAAAATGAAACTTGGGCACCAACTTACACCATACACAAAAATAAATTCAAGGTGGATAAAAGATTTAAATCTAAGCCGTGACACCATTAAAATCCTAGAGGAGAATATAGACAGGAAAATCTCAGATATTTCACGCAGCAACATTTTTACTGATATGTCCTCTAGAGCAAGGGACATAAAAAAGAATAAGCAAATGGGATCTCATCAAAATAAAAAACTGCACAGCTAAAGAAAACAGTCTTAAAATAAAAGAGAACCAACCATATGGGATATCATATTTGCTGATGATACCCTAGACAAGGTTTTAATCTCCAAAATATATAAAGAACTTACACAATTCCACTCTAAGAAGACAAGCAACCTAGTTAAAAAAATGGGCAAAGCAGCTGAAGAGACATTTCTCCAAGGAGGACATACAGAGGATCCAGAGACACATGAAAAGATGCTCAGTATTGCTAGCTATCAGAGAGATGCAAATAAAAACCTCAGTGGATACCACCTCACACCGGTCAAAATGGCCATCATAAACAAAGCAACAAACAAGTGTTGGAGAGGTTTTGGAGAAAAGGGACCCTAGTGCACTGTTGGTGGGATTGCAGACTCATACAACCACAGTATGTAATTTTCTCAGAAAACTAAAAATGGACCTGCCTTTTGACTCAGCAATTCCACTGCTAGGATTATATCCTAAGAACCCTGAAACACCAATCCAAAAGAACCTATACACCCCAATGTTCATAACAGCACAATTTACAATAGCTAAGTGCTGGAAGCAACCTAGGAGCCCATCAGTAAATGAAAGGATAAAAAAACTATGGTACATTTACACAATGGAATTCTATGCAGCAAAGAAAGAAGGTCCTACCCTTTGCAACAGCATGGATGGAGCTGAAAATCATTATGCCAAGTGAAATAAGCCAGGCAGTGAAACACAAATACCATATGATCTCACCTTTAACAGGAACCTAAACAACAAAACAAACAAACAAATACAATTTAACCAAAGACACTGAAATAGAGAACAGGATGACAGTGACCAGAGGAGAGAGGGGAGGGAATTTCAGGGGAAAAAGGGAAGGGTTTACAGGAACAAGTATAAAGCACATATGGACAAAAAGCAGGTGGGGGTGGAAATGGAAGGAGGTGGGGAGGGCTGGGAGAGTTGGCTGGAATGGCAGTAAAAGACAGAAAACTGTACTTGAACAACAATTAAATTAAAAAAAAATAGAGTCCCTCCAGCTCCTGAGGTCAATCTCTGCTCAGAGTTGTCCTATTCCCACATTCTGTGGAATGTACTATTGCTTAATAAATCTCCTCTCTCTCTTTCTGCTATAAACTGTGTGTTCAGTTCAATTCTTTGTCCGTTATCACCAAGAACCTTGTTACCTGTGCCCACCTGTGACAGTTACAGGATATCTCTGGATACATATGTAAAGTGGTACTGCATCATCACAGAGCCACCTCAGACTGCCATGGTAGTGTGCAGTTCTGGAGACTGTTCTGTGCTGTTGAAGATGTAACTAAATTATGTAACAGGGTGCATCCAAGGGGGCCCCAAATAGGGACTTGTAATGGGCTCCAGAACTCAGGGTGTCTGGGAAATATTAGAAAAAAAGTATATGGGATACCTTCACCCCCACAAGCCTGAGCTGGGGCTGCGACACATGGAGCAGGGCCATTGAGAACTGTTTTGCATAGCAACAGTTTTGCAGCTAGCCTCTGGCATGGTCATTTAACACACTTGTAACTTTTAACTGGTTTCATGGATATGTTAAATAGCTGTGGCCTTGCTTTGAGCCAGGGAGATAGGAGTGACTTCAACCCATGATGTCCCTCTGGTTACAGCACCCCTGTGAGAGCTTGCAGATGACTGGCTCCATGCCATGAGGCCATGCCTGCCCGTATTTATTATGGCAGCCCAGTAAAGCTGGAAGAATATGGGAATGCTGGCAGGTGTAATGGATTGTGGGAGGAGTTGGAAATGGGGCTGCAGAGGAAGAATGGTGCTGGGATTTAAACACAGGTAGGCAGCCATGCTGGGTTTCGGGGGACCACATGACTTGCAGCTTTGGGGTGCTCTTTTGCCACCTGGCTTAGGAAGCAGGAGAGACCTTGCTGGGAAGAAAAGGGATAAAAGTACTCTTGCTGGTGGACAATGAGAAGGTGCCACATGGTTTTGGATTAACTGGAGATCATGGCGGTGGCACAGCTGATGGTGCCGTGAACCAGGAGCTACCTGAGCCATGGACTTCTACTTCTTTTCCTGAGATACAGTATCCTAGAGATACAGGGAGAAGGAAGGACTGTGTGCATTTGTGGGTGTTCTAAATGACTCTAGTATTTAAACGAAGACACTAAGTCATTACTCTTAAGTCTGTGTAGTTCTTTGAATAAATAATTCCTTTCCTTGTCACCAATCTCTGGCGTTAAGAGATGTTTTTCCTTGGAAGGGGGCAAGGCGAACCTAGTACAGGGGTGAGGGGCCCAGAGCACAAGGGGAGGTCCATTAGGTAATAGTATATTGTTCACCCCCCATCCCCCTAGGGTCTGTTCTGTAACAAGTACATCACTTTGCTATGTACTCCAGGACTTGGCTGTCTCACTCAGGAGTGATCGGCCTTTGGGGAAACCATCTGATATAGAAATAAACATTGATATCTTCAAAACCATGGTGTTACTTTACAGTGAAGAGTGTGTACTTTCTTAAGATACTTAACCGCTCTGTGAACGATTTCTCATTTGTCAGATGGCAACAGCTATTTCCACCTTACAGGGTTTTGTGGATTCTACAGCTATTCCTTACAAAGTTCCTAGTGCCTCACACACAGTAAGTGCTTACTAAGTGCATTAGTAAATATTAATGTTATTACTCCTAGGGTTGAAGGACTGTTACTTCAGTCTCCTAAGCTAGAATGTTCCTCTCCCCTGCTATGCATGTTCAACCAATGACTACCTTACATCAAGTCTATCACCTAAATACTCTAATGAATCATTCGTTCTCCCTACCTAACCCCCTCTCCAGTCACTCTGCTAGTTCTGGCTGTCATTATTTCTTGCCTAGCACATTCCATGGTCCTCCAGTTCAGACCCATTTAACTGAATCACCACACTGGCGTCTGGGTAACCTTTGAAGATTTGAACTTGATCATGTCACTGTGACCTGTTACAGCTTCCACTGGCTCACAGTACTAGGACCCCTGGGGTGTAGGGGATTGTTAAAAGTATAGGTTCCAGGATGCCACCCAGAGTCTATGATTCTGAAAAGATTCCCAGAGCAGAGAGCCACAGGGAAGCGGTTCAGAGAGGGGTCTCCCCAGCTGTGGATTCTGTAGACTCAAGGTGGGTGAAAGTTGGCAGACCCAGGGCACGTCCTCCTTTGGCGTAGAGGTCAAAGTATTGGCTGATTACCTTGGGGAGCATGAATTCAAGGAGGACCTTTCACACTCAGGCTGTGCAGTGGAAAATTTGTGATTTGGCATCTAGTCAATTCATCAGTTCTAATTGGTATGTTCACGTGAGCCTGCAAAGCTGGATACCTGCCCCTTGGACACCCCCTTCCCCCCCAAAAGGAAACACATCCTTCTGTCAACAAAGGCCTAGTTCTCAGGTTTTGGTCAGTTAGGTGCTACCAGGCCTGGGACTGCTTCGCACTTTTACCGGGCAGATCAGGTGCAGCCATAAGCATTTCCACTCTTGGTCCAGTGTCCTGAGCGAGGATTGTAGGGCTCTTCCTTCAGGCGGCTGTGACAATCCTCGTCCAGTGACAGTGGCCAGGAAGCGAAATAGGGCACTGGAGGCGGAGCTTGCCCAAAGCCACGCCCCTTGCAGAGTCAAATACAGCAGAAGGCCCAACGGCCTGGATACACAGAGCGCTCGCAGTTCAGCGAGACACAGGCAGTTCTGTCCCGAGGCCCAGGAAGCCACTGGGGGTCGGTGCTCTGGATCGCCTGCCGCGCCAGAACCTGGAGGCCAAAAGCCATGAGCGGCTTCCTGCGGTCGGGCTCGAGCAACTGGCGGCGGGCGGCCACCGTGGTGCTGGCGGCGGATTGGACACACCCAATTCCCACCGCTCCGGCTCCGTCGTTGCCCCCGCCAGCTGAGGGCTTCAGGCTGCTGCTGCTGCAGCGCTCCAGGCAGCAAAGCGTCTTGCCCGGGGCATACGTCTTCCCGGGCGGCGTACTGGACGCGGCAGATCGCTCGGCCGACTGGCTGCGCCTCTTCGCGCCGCACTACGGGCCGCCGCGTTTCGGCCTGGGCTGCGCGCCGCCCTCGCACACCACCTTCCCAGTGCTGCCCGCCGCGGGGCCGGACTCCCCCGTAGAGCTGGGGGCTGCGCTGCCGGATGACGTAGCCTTCCGGATCTGCGCCCTCCGCGAGACCTTCGAGGAGGCGGGCGTGCTGCTATTGCGGCCGCGGGCTTCACCAACCGCGGTGCCGGAGCTGAGCCGCGCCCTCCCGGCACCGGAGGGTCTGGCCGCCTGGCGCGCCCGCGTCCGCCGCGACCCGCGCCAATTCCTGCACCTGTGTGAGCACCTGGACTGCATCCCCGACATCTGGGCGCTGCATGACTGGAGTGCGTGGCTCACACCGTTCAGGCAGCGTGGCAGCCGCCGCTTCGAGACTTACTTCTACCTCTGCTGCCTGCGAGAGCCGCCGCCGGTCTACCTAGACTTGGCTGAGGTGGTGGACTACCAGGTAGGGTGTTCTCCCGGCGCGGAGTGGGGACCCCGGCCGGAGGCTAAGACCCACCCAGAACCTCCGAATAAGGGTGGTACAGCCAGTAAGTGACTGAGAGGGTATGGAACCCAGGCAGTCTAGCCCCCAACAGGGCAGGGCAAAGCCAGGACCTCCTGGTGAAGTGATTTTCCTCGGCTTCACTGTCCCAAGGCCTTGACTCTGCCTCCCCACGCGGCTCCCCTAGCGGAACCGCTCCGAAGACCCCAAGAACAGAGCAGACCGCCTATTAGGCTGCAGGCTCCCTTCTAAGCACTTTACTTGCATTGTCATCTCGCCTCCACAACAGTTGTGTTCTCAGAGAACATACTTTATGTGATTTAATCTTTCTGAATTTAGCCCTGCGCTGTGTGGCTTAGTTGGTTGGGCGTCCTCCTGCAAAACGAAAAGGTTCTTGTTCGATTCCTGGTCAGGGCACATGCCTGGGTTGTGGGCAGGTCCCCAATTGGGGTGAGTGTCAGAGGCAACCGATGGATGCTTTTCACATTTCTCCCCCTACGTTTCTTTTCCTTTTTTCCTCCCTCCCCTCCCTCTAAAAATAAAGAAATAAAATCCTTTTTTTCTTAAAGGGGTTTACTTTGAAAAATTTTTAAAATTTACTGAGTCTTGTTTTATGGCCACATATATGGTTTATTTGGTGAATTGTAACCTTTGCACCTAAAAATCATATTCTGTCATGTATTGAGGGAGTGTTTATAAAAATTACAGATTCTTCGATAGTGCCTTTCAGGTTTTCCATTTTGTTCCATCAAATACTGTACTGAGAGAGGAGTGCTTAAATCTTCAGTGAGTAATTGTGGGTTTGTCTTTTTTCAGTTCTATCAGGTTTTGCTTCATGTATTTCAGAGTTCCCTTGTAAGGTGCTGAATAGACATCTAGGACTGTTAAACCCTGATGGATTGACCCTTTATTATGAAATAGCGTTCTTTATTCCTGGTAATACTACTTACCTTAAGTCTGAAGCTTACTCTGTCTGATACTAATATAGCCACTTTGCCTTTTATTTGATTAACAATTGCATAGTATATCTTTTCCCATCCTTTATTCGCCCCCCCCCCGCCCCCCGGCCCCTTTTTAGAGACTTTCTCACAGCAGCTCTGCACAGGTCTTTGTCTTCACACAGCCTGGAAATGGCTGCTAGGTTCTGTGCTCTTTCTTTGCTAAGAGGTGCAAAACAAAAAGGCAGGTTGTTATCTGTTAAGGAGCGATGGTGAAAGTAGTATTTGGCATAAACAGTGGCAGGAACATTAATATTAAGCCGAAGTAGCTCCAAAAAATGCCTTTTCATTTCATTCATGTCCTCAGCTGTAATGTCCTTGAGGTTCTAGCAGTTCACATTTCATACAGCCTGATTGTCCCAAACCTCGGAAGCAAGAACGACGGCTCCCAAAATAATTCTTTTCCAGTTAGTGGGACAAATGTTGATCTCAGCATAAGTTAAAAGCCTTTCTAAGTAAACCAAAGTTACTATTGCACTCTTGGCTGCTAGCTATGTGGCACTGAAAAGAGTACAAACAAATCTGTTAAATAAATTTGTGTTCAGAGTCATGCTTAAAGTATTCCTCTAGAACAGTTTCTCGTGTGAGTGGGATGTGATCTCTCATAAAAAATATCCAAGGATCTATTTGCATCTCTGTTCTTTATGTGGTAATATACTGCTAAGGTCACACTCTCTGTTGTGGTTCTAAGATTAGGCTGGCAGACTGTGCTGTCGTCTGGAAATATTGTTGAGCATGAACTATATTTTTTAGTAAGGTGCCTGGAGATTCATAGTTTACATAGTTGTTCTTCCTTTCTTTTCGCACATCCATTTGGGATTTGTTCAGGAAAATTGTGCTTGCCCTCGGATGGTCAGGAGGATTTGATTGCCAACCTAACTACTTTCGCGTCTCCTGGTCGCTTGTGTGCTGCAGGTGGTGGCCCTCGCTGGTTCCGAAATACAACTCTGCGGAGTCCACAACAGTGGGCGAAGGTGCTACTGCCACCACGTCCCCAGCCGCTGCCCTATAGATCTCATACTCTAGTCCAGCTCTGCAGGCTCCAAGCGCTAGCTCAGCTTGGGGCTGGCACTGGGCTTCACGCAACAGGTCAGCGTGTTCCCCTCGAGGTGCCTACACTCTTCGCTCCTGTAGCCATCTTTGCTTGCTCTCGAGTCCTGCCCCCATCTGGGACTCGGGCGTGCTCAGTAATACCTCTCCCCCAATAAAGGTGCGGCTTGCACAGGCAGTGCCCGGGGCTGCGCAGCGAGAACCGAGAACCCTTAGGCTACTCCAGTTGTTTGTGCCTGCAGGGCGCAGGAAGAGCTCAGGCGCCTGGCCACACCCCTTGCAGTAGCTATGCTACTGCCTCCCGGGAGTTGCCTCCATCTTTACTTTTAACCTATCTGTGCCTTTATAGTTAAAATGCGTTTCTTACCTGGCTGGCGTAGCTCAGTGGATTGAGCACGGGCTGCGAACCAAAGTGTTACAGGTTCGATTCCCGTCAGGGTACATGCCTGGGTTGCAGGCCATGACCCCCAGCAACGCACAGTGATCTCTCTCTCTCTCTCTCTCTCTCTCTCTCAGTCTCTCTCTCTCTCCCCCCGCTTCCCGCTCTAAAAATAAATAAATAAAATCTTTTTAAAAAATGTGTTTCTTGTATGTGGCGTATTGTCTTGTTTTTTTTTTAATCCAATATGACAATTTATCCCTTTTAATTGGAGTCTTTAGATCACTTATATTTAACGTCATTATCAATAAAGTTAGTCAAGTCTACTGCCTTACTGTTAGTTTTTTAAATCTGTCCCATCTATTCTTTGCAGTGTTTTTCTTTTCCTGACTTCTTTTGGATTATTTGTGTATTTTTAGGACTCAGTTTTGCCCCCATTATTGATGTAGCATCCAGCAAACTCGAGAACGAATATCGGAGACTTTCAGGGTATCAAAGATGTTACTTTATTGGCCAAGTTTAACCTGCGCAGGGGCGAACTCTTAAAGTGTCCAGCGACACAGTGCCCACAAGGAGCTGCAAACGAGAGCCGCGCCGAGCGCTTACAACTACGTTCTTATATATGGGCAGGCAAGCAAGCGTTATACAGAAGCAGACGTGGCAGTTAGTAATTCGCTTACAAAGACCGCGCGCGGGAATTTCAAACCAAGCATTCTTTCATAAGGTGGGAAGGCAGGATGTTTGTTCATTAACCTAGTAATCTCCTGGCTCTAGCTAGCTAGTTTTCTATTTTCTCATTAAAAACTACAAAGCACTGCTTATCTAGCCTAGCCAGGGGAGAGCGTCTGCTAGACACAGGATGTTTGCTTTGACTGTACTTTGTCTCTTTTATCATTTCTTTTCAGCTACAATGTGGTTCTTGTCTATTAAGGTTAAAATTTAGTTCTTAATTTCCTTGTTCCCAACAATTGACTTATTGACTGTATCTCTGAGGCATATCTCTTTCCTGGTTGCAAGTCTCATGGAGACCCTTAGAGTTTAGGAGATGAGTGCCTGTGGGGGAAGATGAAGGGAAGGGGAAGGTGCTGGCATTCTCCCTGTGCTTTCCGTTCTCCCCAGAGGAAAAGGGCCATTGGGTCCATTGTTTTGAGGGTTTATCTCTCTTGCCGTGGGAATCTTAGGGAAAGTCTTTGGCATGTTTTCAGCAGAATATTTGTCAGTTTTTCCAGGTGTGCTGTCTCAGGGTTGTGGTCTTCACTGATTGGTCAGTGCCAGGGCAGGGGGTTGTTAGTCATTGCAGCTGTCCTGGCTCACCTACCTGGTTTTGCTGCCTTTCTGGGCCTGGAGCTGAGGCCTATATGTTGTCTCTAGGGAAATGACCTTCTGCATCAGGCTGTAAATTGGCCAGTTTGTTCAGCTTTCTGTCTGTCTTCTCTATTCCACGTGTCCTGGCCCGTCTCAGAGCTCTATTGAGTTCACCTCATTTGTTTTTCTTTTCTCACACAGTTCTGCATTTTTTGGTGTTCAAATTGGTGGTTTTATAGATTTTGACCACTTATCTATTTTTCACATTGTACTGGGGGAAGGTAATGTGGCACTCACGGCTGGGAGAGGAGGCTCCAATAAATAGTTCTTAGCCTCGTTAAGCTAGTGGTTCTCAAAAGGAGATTCACCCACCCCAGACCCAGGTACGTTTTGCAACATCTGGAGACATTTTTGGTTGTCACTACTCAGGGACTTGCGCTGGCTTCTACGCAGTAGAGCCCAAGTATGCTGTTAAAATGTCCTTGAGTGCACAGAACAACCTCCCACAACAGAGTTATCTGGTCTAAAGTGTCAATAGTGCCAAGGTTCCAAAACCTACTGGGAACAGAGTGGAATTTAGAGCCAGTCCCCTTCCCCACCCCAGGTTTGAAGCCCAGATTTTCAGACAGAGTAGCTGCCTGAGTTTCTTTCTCTATAAAATGATAGTATACAGCATTGACCTAAGGACTGGAAATAGTTTACATAAAGTGTTTGAGCTGTGCTTTACTGGTAACAAGTAACCAATAAATGGTAACTTCTGTTATTTTTTAAATATTTTATTTATTTTTAGAGGGAGGGAGAAAGTGGGAGAGGAACATCAATAAACATGGCCCCATCTGGGGACCTGACCTGCAACCTACGCGTGTGCCCTGACTAGGAATCGAACCACTGATATTTCCGTTCACAGGCCAGCACTCAATCCACTGAGCCATACCAGCCAGGGCATAACTTCTTTCAGTCTATCCTCTGGACCAACCTGAACAGATTGAATTAAGTGGGTGGATGCCCATTATTTAACCCTACATATTGATTATTATCACTGAACTCACATAGACCTGACAAAGCAGAATGCTTTGTAAATAACTTAAATATTGGGTGGTCCTTTGAAGTCCCAGGTTTGTTTGTAAAATGCAGCCAACTTCAGAATAATGTGGGGTGCTTGTTACACGTGGATTGTTGGGCCTGATAGACTGAAGATTTAATAGGTTTCTTAGGGGATGTTCAAGCATGTACAAGCTTGTAAACCTTTGGCCTGTCATTATCCAAGGCAGAAATTAATTTTAACTCCCTGGGTTTAGGTGTGGGAATCAGTTTTCCCCAATGTAAATGGATATTTAGTAAACCAGTTAAAGAAAGACCTTTTAGGGTTATTCCATATTCATTGAATCAGCTCTTTTTATCCAACTATGTATGGAAGGAAGGCTGTGGAAGGAGGGTAAGTCATAGCACTGAGGCCACTTAAGTAAAATGGGCAAACACTGGCTGGTTGACACCCTACTGTGATTACAATTTTGGGGTCATAGACTGAATTATGCGTCTTGACTCTCCTTAACTACTGCTCCTGAGTTTTTACCACCATTTTAACACATACATCACACATTTTGGTTGCTGAAGGCCCCATAGGGCCTGAGAGAGCTTTGCTACAACCTTAGGGCATAGTCAAATTGTTCCTTATTTATGGGAGGAACAAATGGGCACTAAAATCTCAATCTGCTGTGGTGAGTTTACTCTTCAGACTCTGCTTTCCTTCAGGAATGACCAGACCTACTTTGCCTTGTATGCATCTCCTGCCTTTTATGCCGAATGACTATCAACCCTTGATGCACTATCCTGGTATATTTACTTGTCCTCAGGGTCTGCATCTGAACAATCAGCCCTTTGAAGGCAACCTAAATGAGTTTGACACCCCTGTCTTAAGGGGATCAACCCAGCTTTCTTCTCCACACCTTTTCATGTTGACTCAGGGAATCTAGCAAAGCACATTAGTGAATTAACTTTGTATCTTCAGTTCACTCTTAGGCACTGATCTCAGATCTTACATTGTCTATGGAATAAATCTGTCTTCCACAGTGGTCATCTCCTGCAGAGGCAACTGGAAGTTTCTTATCAAAAGAGATTTGGTTGGTACCCCCACAGTTCTATGAAATAAGAAGACTTGAAAACTTTGCCTCTCTGTCTGACTTGCACAAATTTTGTTTGGATCACATATCACAAGGAGTCGAAAGATGGATGCCAATCACACTAGTAACTGCTGATGGGCTGATCATGCTTTTACCAGGTAAATCAGTGAAGCATCAATGCTTTTGTTAGTATTCACACTTAATTCACTGGGCTGTATGGCGGTATTGCCCAACACAGAGACATGATTTACAGTCTGTTTTACATACTACAATGGTATTGATTAAATAACGCGTCAAAGTCTATAAAATATCATAGTATTTATTATAACCAGAAGTTCTGAATAAGTCTCTTTACACACTTATACATTTATGTATGTTTTCTAGACATTGACAGAGTTCTTGCATATTATCTCACTTTTTTATATTTTAATTCTGAATTATGAGAACTTGTAAGTTGTCAGCTTATTTAAATCAGGGTGTTCTCTGGTGGTCAGTTGTTGGGCATGGGTAGGATGGAGTTTTTGTGGCCATTCAGCATGGGGCTTTGTGGCTGTCTGTGGCTGCCTGTCTCCGTTCTCACACAGTGATAGTGTTAGTTACTCATCCTGTAGTGGGAGAATTTAGCAATTCTGATGTGTAAATAATGATTTCTCTAATTTTATCTTAAAATTACTACAGCTGTCCAGATTAAGACACCAAAATATATGGCTGTCAAGGCCCATATTAATATTGGCTGTGAGAAAGAGAGTCATGAACTATATAAAAGTTATAGTTATGATGAAAAAATACCAGCCATAAATATTTATGTGCTCAGAGAAAATTCTTGAGTGGAGAATGAGACCTAGGGAGTATGGATATTAAAAACACAAGAAATTGAGGTAAACTCATAAAGTTAGGGTTATTTAATAACCATCTTAGTTCTAAGTACATGAAATAGATTTAAAAACATACTGATTAATATGTCACTAATATATTGGAATGTTTTATAAAATAACACTTTGTGGAATTAAAATATTTTTCAGGAGATGAGCTGTACTTAGAAGATTCAAAGTTTTTAGAAAACTCTTTGTCTAGTGAAAAAAAGACTGAAGAAATCATGAAGGAAGGGAAGAAATTGCACCGAATAGTGCTACACAATCGCCATCTTTATAGTATCTACGTGACCGTTCAGTCGAAGTATAAACATGTTTATCCTAAGACCTATGTAGTAAATAAGAGCCATTTGTAATGTAGTGCTTATCTGTAAGCTGGCCTATTTGAAGGTGGGCTAATGAATAGTCTTACTTGGAATTTAAGGAACTTTGTGCCTATAAAAATTATAGTACAGTATTTCATGTTTCCAGTGTACTATGGAGCTCTCTTGCTTATTTTATTCTATAAACCTTACAGTGTCACACGAGTATAAAGTATCAATGCTTTTCTTACTGAAATAAAAAATCTCACAAAGGGTTTCCACTTCTGTATTGTTTTATTATCAAAAGTTTAAATAAGCTGTTGTACTGCCATTGTCTTTTAAATGTCCATTGTATTAGCACTTCCACTAAAGTGCTTAAGAGATCATCCATGAATTCTTCAGACTTTCTGCTAGAGTTAATTTAAGAGTGTTTGATTACATGATAAACAATAGATTTACACAGCCTTTGGGTAACAATGTCATTTTTTTGTAATGTCTTTAGCTTGATAATTAAGATATAATACTGTTGAAAACCAAATAGCATTCATTATTAGGTTTATTGCCAAATTGGAAATCTATCTTAGTTAATATTTTAATTTTATTTTTTTTAAGATTTTATTTATTTATTTTTAGAGAGAGTGAGTAAGGGAGGGAGAAAGAGAGGGAGAGAAACATTGATGTAGGACAGATACATCAATTGGTTTCCTCTTGCATACCCCCAACTAGGGACCTGGCCTGCAACCTGGGCATGTGTTCTGACTAGGAATCGAACCACTGGTTTCGGTTCGTAGGCCAGCACTCAATCCACTGAGCCACACCAGCCCGGACCAATATTTTTAAAGACATTTGACCATAACTGTTTTACTCTGGAGTGCTAGGTAATGAAACAAAGAGGTTAGAGAGAGGTAGACTTACTCATCATTCAATGGTGTTTATTTTTCAGTATTTTTAATATGGGTAATTTTTTTGCTCCTTTTAGGGAGAATGTTTATTGATTAAAGCTGGGAAATGGTTAAGACACCAATTATATTTAAGATATTCATACTATGCATAATAAAACAGATTTTATACTTTATGAAATTCTTTAATTTTTCTACTTATAAAATAGAGGTATTGATGAATTCAGTTTATGTTTATTATTTAATCTGATTAGAGGAATAGATCAGTGGTACTCAGCCCAGAGCACTTTTGCCCTCCAGGAGGTATTTGACCATGTCTGAAAATATTTTTGGTTGTCACAGCTGAGAGTGAGAGGCTACTCTGTCTAGCGGGAAGAAGACAGGGATGCTGTTAAATGTCCCACAATATAGAAAACAGTTGCCACAGCAAAGAATGATCCGGCAAAGGCTGAGAAACTGATCTAGAATAAAATGTATTTTTTTCAATAAATGATTCTAATATGTAACTTTTGAGAACCATAGACACTGTTTGCATTCCATCTGGCCTCTGAATCTATCAAAGTTATTCCTGACTTTTGACCTTGGGTACAATATTCTTTTATTCTTACAGATAATGGAATGTCGCTGGAAGAGACCTCAGTGAACACTATAGTTTTCCTGGTGAGAAAACTGAGAAACATTCATATAGCTACTGCCACAGCCAAGAGTAGAGCTGGATTTATTGTCAAGCAAATAACATTTGTTACTTGTCACCAAAAGTAGGTGTTTGAACATTTCTGCCCACTGCATCTTGTTGTCATAGTTGCCAAGGAAACCACAACACAGCCAAGCACTGGATGGAATAATGTTTAACTCACATAGAGAAGAGGCAGAGCAAGATCAGCTCCAGTAGTTCACCTTGGTCCCCTATTCCTGGCAAGTCCCCTCCCTGTAGCTAGCACAAGACAACTGGCCTGCATGTAGCCTTCTTGTGCAGTAGAAGGACCCTATCTCTTCCCTAGAGGGGACAGACATAGTAGTGGGGTTAGCCTGGTGCCATATGAAGCTTCTGCTGAAGCAGAAGAGCCAAGGACACACATTGAGTCTGAAATGGAAAGATTTCCATTCAAGGTGTCTAGTTCACCAGAGGCTCTGAGGACTGTTTTGATAAGAAAGTGTTAGAGGCCCAAGGCCCATTCTCATGCAGCCAAGGGAAGGTTGAAAGACTGTGTGCAAGACATTGGCTTTCCCAACACTCCTAGCCCTGCCTCCTTTCACTGGAGTTAGATGGCTCAACAGGAAATTTTAGGAGATAAAGTAAGAAAGTAATATGACTGGTTTTTCTTCATAAAGATCTTTCTTTTTTTTAAATCTGAATGAGCCTAGGTTCCTTCCAAGAATTCTTTTGGGGGGACTGTCACATGACTTCCTATTAGTGGTGCTATCATCCTGGCTCAAAATAATAGGGCTGCTCCCATGAGCTGAAAAAGCGTGTTGATTTAGAGCCCAGCTTGCTAGTGTTGGTAGCATTTATTATGTTGTCTTCCTTACCATATTTTAGCTGCCTCACCCTCAGATACAGAAGCAGAAAGCCTGGACATCTTCCTGCCTGTGCTGGTATCTGTACTCTGTTCTATCTTGTCCAGGGAAGAGCCAGGAAAACTTGTTTTCTATGATACTGGATAGTCTCTTGAGACTGCAGTGAGTTCAGGAGTAAGTTCAGGAGTAAATACTAAGTCAGTGCACATTTTCATTGCCTACCTTTTTTGCAGATTCTTTTGGATGACCTCCATTAGAATCCAAAACTGGGCTGGCACCAACATTTCAGGCTAACATGTCTTGTCCTCACAGTTCTTTTTTAATAAAAATAAAATAAGAATACCCTATAATGTGGCAGGTACAATAAGAACTCAAATATAAGGGTACTTACTCTTTTCCCAGAGCTGATTTGTGTGTGTGAGGGGCAGGGGGCGCTGGGTAGGGAGCCCCTCACATTTGTAGTTATTTCATGTTTCTCCTTTCTTCTCAAACCTCTATTTTTTTTTCATTTATTTTGCAAATTTGACAGTTTTCTGCTCCTCCTTGCTCCCCCTTCGCCACTCCTCCTCTGGCCTCTTTACTTTTGTCTTCTCAAACCAACCTTTAGATGAGAGTCCCTCAGTACTTATTCTTAGAACTTCTTCCCTCCTTGGGTGATGTTCAAGGCACATTGTTTCTTTGTTTTTTTTTAAAACTTTATTATTACCATTATTTTAAAAAAGATTTTATTTATTTATTTTTAGAGAGGAGGGGAGAAAGAGGGACAGAAACACCAATGTGTGGTTGCCTCTCATGTGCGCCCCCTACTGGGGACCTGGCCCGCAGCCTAGGCATATTCCCTGACTGGGAATTGAACCAGCGATTTCTGTTTGCAGGCTGGTGCTCAATCCACGGAGCTGCACCAGGCAGGGCCAAGGCACATTCTTTCAAAATGAAATTGTTGCCCTTTACAGATGTTAAGGCATACATGCCTGTCAGAGTTGGACTGCTTACCTCTTGCTTGTTATGTGAAAGGATATATACTTCTATTTTATATAAACCACTGTAGGGGTGGGCAAAATAGGTTAATAATAACAAATAATACAATAATAAATAAATAATGATACAAGAATAAACTTTAGAATACTCACAAATGTAAACCTACTTTTGCCCACCTCTGTATTTTTAGGTCTCTGTTAAACAACTTTAGCTTTTTCCCTAACCTATAATTTTTCCTCCCAAAGCAGGTTCCCTCAGCAGTCTTCCCTATATCAGAAACCTACCAGTTATTTCAGCTAAAAATCTCAAATCGCCCTTGCTTCCTCTATTTTCTTCATTCCTATATCCAGGTGACTAGGAAGTCCTATTGATTCTCTTACCCACAATTAACTTGAATTTCTCATCTTCTGACCTCTGCATTATCACCTTAGTCTAAGCCAGTTATCTCTTTTTTAAAATATTTTATTGATTATACTATTACAGTTGTCCCATTTCCCCCCCTTCCCTTCCCTCCACCCTGCACACCCTCTTCCACCCACCTTCCCCCCTTTAGTTCATGTCCATGTGTCATACTTATAAGTTCTTGGCTTCTACATTTCCTATACTATTCTTGCCCTCCCCCTGTCTGTTTTCTACCTACCATCTATGCTACTTATTCTCTGTACCTTTTCCCCCCTCTCTCCTCCCACTCTCCTGTTGCTAACCCTCCATGTGATCTCCATTTCTGTGGTTCTGTTCCTGTTCTGGTTGTTTGTTTTTGTTTTTGTTTTAGGTGTGGTTGTTAATAATTGAGAGTTTGCTGTCATTCTACTGTACATGCTTTTTATCTTCTTAGATAAATCCCTTTAATATTTCATAAAATAAGGCTTGGTGATGATGAACTCCTTTAACTTGACCTTATCTGGGAAGCACTTTATCTGCCCTTCCATTCTAAATGAAAGCTTTGCTGGATAGAGCAATCTGGGATGTAGGTCCTTGTCTTTCATGACTTGGAATACTTCTTTCCAGCCCCTTCTTGCCTGCAAGGTCTCTTTTGAGAAATCAGCTGACATTCTGATGGGAACTCCTTTGTAGGTAACTGCCTCCTTTTGCTGCTTCTAGGATTCTTTCCTTCATTTTAGTCTTAGCTAATGTAATTATGATATGCCTTGATGTGTTCCTCCTTGGGTCCAACTTCTTTGGGACTCTCTGAGCTTCCTGGACTTCCTGGAAGTCTATTTCCTTTGCCAGATTGGGGAAGTTCTCCTTTTCCACTTGTTGCTCTTCCTCTTGTCCTTCTGGTACCCCTATAATACTGATGTTGAAATGTTTAAACATGTCCTGGAGGTTCCTAAGCCTCTCCTCATTTTTTGGACTTCTTGTTTCTTCATTCTCTTCTGATTTGATGTTTCTTCCTTCTGGTCCACTCCATTGATGTGAGACCCAGCTTCCTTCCCATCACTATTGGTTCCCTGTACATTTTCCTTTATTTCACTTAGTGCAGTATTCATTTTTTCATCTAATTTGCGACCAAATTCAACCAATTTTGTGAGCATCCTGATCACCAGTACTTTGAATTGTGCATCTAATAGGCTGGCTCTCTCTTCATCACTTAGTTGTATTTTTTCTGGAGCTTTGATCTCTCTTTCGTTTGGGCCATTTTTTTTTTTGTCTTGGTGCGCATGTTATGTAGTGAGGAGCGGAGTGTTAGGTGTTCAGCAGGGCCAGGCTACCCAGTCACTGGGTTGTGACGCTGTGTGTGGGGGAGGGGTCCAAGAGGGAACAATGGCACTTGTTCCTCTGTCTGCTGGATTTTAGTCACTTTTCCCGCTTCCCGCAAGCAAACTGGACCCTTCTGGTGCTGATTCCCATGTGGGTGGGCTTGTGTACGTTCTAGGGCC